AAAATTAGAGAATTGAAGATATCATCATGAAATGAACAAACCTAAGAGAGGTCTACCCAATGTACATATACACCAAGTATGAAAGCCTTCAGGCTTGTAGTTTTCAAGAATTATTCGAAAAAGTAAAACATTGACACGGACGACGGACAATCACTCATATGATGAGCTCCGCTCGACAAAGTCGACAGCGGAGCTAAAAAAGTGAATTTATAAACAATAAACATAAATTTTTAATTATATGGAAAATTTCTAGGTTTTAAACATCGCAAAAAAATGCACTTAATGTATTCACATACTGGGACCAAGAAATTAGCCCATATTGTATGATATTGCACAGTGATATGATATGATATATGATAGGATATGATATGATATATGATACATGTGTATATGATATATGATATGCAGCTTGACCAAACACTGTGATCAAATGGTCCTCCTTTGCAACAATAAACTACACTGCTGGTTTTATATAATTTCTTAAACAATTGTTTGTCGAAAAATTTAAATTCATCTCGCGCAAACTAATTGGGGCATTTATTTTTCCCTTAACAAAATGAGTCGATAATGTAAGTTTTCCTTAAAAACATAGTAGTTGTGATTGGGTCGTCAATATATATTTGAAAATATTTCTAATGCAGTATCAGTTTGTTGTATATACATATAAAAGATATACATCTGTCACAAGACTATTTAAATGAAGGAACTACATTTTTTTTAAAGTGGAACAGAGTATATTTCATTGAAATCTGATGAGTGATTCTTGAGATACAAATGTATCTGTGGAACAACTAAAAATTGGTAAATTTATGCAAAATAGGTAATTCAAATACATAAATGTCAATCCAAAACTACAAGTAACTACATTTAGGTCCTGTGGATTACCATATAGCATCTATGCATCAAGTTTGACAAAAAATTTGTGAGATATCTCCAAGCACATATACACTTGGTTTTATTTCAATGGGACGGCTAATAATTAGGTAATTAATAATAATTGATTAGAACCAAAAACTAATCAGGTCTATGAATTATTTTAAAACATTTATCTATCTATGTACCAATTTTCATTGAAATTTGATACATATATGTACACAAGATAATTGCAATGAATCAAAAATATTACAGTCTGCCATCTTGAAACAAAATGACATGATTCAATAACCCATCATGGGTAAAAACTAAGTTTGAATGAAATCATCTTGAAATATTTTTACAATAGACAAAAATAGGCCAATGGCCTGTTGCTCAATGGCTATTGTACAAAAGATTAGTGCTGTATATGACAAATACTCCAAAAGGCAGTGAGTGAGACAATAAAACATAATGCTAAAAGTGTAATTTTTTACAAAAATAACAGAAATATTCAATAAAATTAGAATCAAAGAGAGCTTAAAAAGAACTCCAGCGTGTTGAGAAAATAACATAACATGATATTTGCAATTATCTGAATTCGTAATACATGTATATACCAAGTTTTGTTGAAATATGTTGAATGGTTCTTGAAATAGCACCCAAATAGGTTGAATTTCACTAGCAAATTAGATAATTTGCACAAATTTCCACCAAGAACTAAATATATCTGGAAACTGCCCCAACACATCTATGCACCAAGTTTTATTAAAACATATTAAATGGTTCTCAAGATATCACTATAGCCTAAATATTGGTATGTAAATTAGGCAATTTGCATAATTTTCAACCAAAATCAATCATGTCTATACACATTTAAATATGTTGAGTGGTTATGTTTTCATTACAATCACATGGACCAATCAAAGAAAACTTAGAACTCCCATGTGCTACATGTATGTGAGAATGAGAAACAGTTGACATTGGAAATAGTGATTACCGGTAGTTGAAATTCCATTTTTAACCAAAAATGACAAAAATATTTACCAAAATTAGAGAATTAAAGATATGGCCATGGGATGAACAAATCTAGTAGATGTCAACACAAGGTACATACACACCAAGTATCAAAGCATTCAGGTTACCGGTTTTGAAGAAGAAGTCGAAAATAGAATTTTTTACCAAAAATGACCATTTTAAAATATTCACCAAAATTAGGAAATTGAAAATTTCCTTACCAAATTAACAAAACTGATAGAGTACAACCCAAGGCACATGCACTATCAATATCAGCACTGTAGACCACTTAGTGTCATAGTAGCATAGAAGAAATTTTAGAGTTTTGGGAGGCTAATTTGCATAATTTTTGGCAGATCGACTTCTCATGAACAAATTACCATCTACACTCATCAAGGCATCCACACACCAAAAATCGAGTCAAACGGTTCGGTGGTTATTGAGAAGAAGTCGTGCACAGACAGATAGACAGACGGACGACAGACGCAGGACAGAAACCCATCCCATAAGCTCAGCAGACCTATGGTTCGTTGAGCCAAATGACCATCGGGGGTCTAAGTTCCACATAACAAAAATTTGTGTATCATGAACTTGACTATGAACCATGTTACTATATAATCTCTGTTCCTATGTCAAATGAGTCTAATAAACAATGCTACTTCACACATCAAAATTCAAGTTATACAGCCATTGAATGCTAACCTTTACATATTCATTTCATCTTACAAAATATTTTTTTTTAAAATGACCTTTCAATTCTGTACAAATATTAATTCTGCCATCAATTGCTTGCCCAGTATATTACATAATATAATACTCAAGAATCATTCCATAAAGGTCTGTTTTAACATTTAAAAACACTAATCATAATGTCAAGAGAACGTTTTAAGTATACTGACAATTTTGTTTTTATTAATAATAAGTTTTTATAATTATTATGATTATTGTAAACTAATTGACTGCAATGATCTGTAAGATTACTGCTGAAATCTGATTAACGTATTTGCTTTATTAGTAGCGTATATACATTTAATATTTAAGAGAAATGATCAAAGAAAGTAATATTTCAATAATCCAAGATACAAAGTAGATGTGCTTCTAATGGACCAAATATGGTATATTACAGCATGCACAGAGTTCACCTTAATGTCAGATAAATATATACACTACATGCTTGTTGAATGTGAAAATTGCATCAGTTTATATCTTATTACAACAAAATTGCAGCCATTTGTAAATGATTGTAGGAAATAAGGCATACTTACATAAACAGGTGAAGACTGGGGAGAGAATGCCATTCGACACAATTCTGAAAAATACAATACAAAAATATACTTGTAAATCTTTTATTTACAGAGAATCCCACGACATATGCATGCAAACTGCTGGGAATACACCCTTGAATGAACCCCAGAGTCAAAAGTAATTGGTTAAAAGGATATGAATTGGTGATTAGAGTTCCTCTATGATCTCACAAAGTAATTACACTAGGAATAATTCCTATAATGAAGACAGCAGAATTTCATGAAGTCAGTTTGTGCATGTAGTATACAAGATTATATCTCAGTTATTTATTAATTCATCAACTTATCAATTAGCCATTGTTTTGGTAATTTGTTAAAACCGGTACAACCAAGCCAATTTTAGAGAAAAAATAGTTACATTTTGTTTGTGAACAAAACTTGACCCCCACCCCCTATTACAACTGTAAGCATACTGCGGGTATGATAAAAAATACTGGATTTGCAAATTAGCAAAAACATGATAATCCTGACAAAGTTAAAGCAAAATTATTCATGTCCACAAGCAGTCCATAATAAGAATGGCTCCCTCTATAGATGACATTTTGCATATGGTATATTGTTAACAGTGAGAGTCAATGTAATAAAAGAACAAGACAAAACAGATCAAAGTCCACTAATATTCAATGTAATCAAACAAACCATAGTATTTTCAATTCAGGTACCTAAGTAAATTTATATTTTGAGAAGCATTATTACTAATTCAACTATATACAGTTAAAAATATAAACGTATCATTCATTCATTCATTCCACAGATCAATGGTCAGACTCAATTCTAGATCCGAAATGAGGGTACATTCCAGTCATATCACAGTTCCACATTACTTAGTAGTACATGTACAGTATTTTTCATGCACTGAGAACAGAAACAGCATATGAAACCAACAGTTTTTCGTCCCTTCTGACTGGTTGCCATTATCCCAACTCTAGACAATCAATCAATCTCCCTAATGCTGGACAGATAAGATAACCATTAAGCCACACATCAGATTGCATGACAGCACTGTTACATTGTACATGTATATGTAGGGTTTCAATTGCCTTGAGTTTGCAATGTCTCCTTTGATATAGCTTTCATTTAATAATGCCATAGTAGTATTAGCAATTTTAATCAAGTATCTAAGCCCTGAAACAGCTATTTCATTAAAAGAATCATTTTAAAGAGGAAATGGAACAATCCCCCCCCCCATTCCAACCATCAGCTTTTGCTGCATGTATAAAATCAGGTGACAGTGTCATACATGTAGCAGACAGTCTTCCTGTATATACGTATTAAATCATAAGATGTTCCTGTTTTATAAAGTTGACAAATTTTCACTGGTATTGATTACATTACAATAATAACTGCCAAGTAAACTTCTATGTCACACAAAACATGCTTTCATTCGTTATGAGTTGGTGGGGTTGTACATTACTGTTGTAATCATAAGACTGAGATAGCAGACAGCTGCTGTTGAAATGATAGATATGGCAGCTGATGACAGTAGATAGGTGATAGTAAAAAAAAAACATAGTGTATGTAACTATTACAAGCTTGCTTATTGGGAATATAGATATCTGATAACAAATACAGATGGAAACTAATGAAGGCACCCACCCCCTCATACTATCGTTCTTTCCATGACAATTTGGTTTTAACATCTAATAATATTTTCAATTCACATACAATGTAAATCAGGATTCAAACATCTGAATTCAATTGGAAACCAAACTTTGACGTTGAGTTAGAAATATCCAAATAAAAGTAATACACAAAATATATGGGTCTTTGTGACATCCAATACGAAGATTATATGAAATTGCTTTTGAATTATTAAACTATACCAAGTAAATATATCACATGTAAGAGTTTACCAATAGATGTAGTTAAAAATTTGTAAATATTTATTAATATAGATTTAAATTCAAATGCGAGTTTGTATTCAATACTGGAGCACTATTTGCACTGCCCGATATACATGAATATATTGTTGATAGACAATGCTCAGATCACTTCAAAGTTATATTTAACTGCATCATTGACGTCAAATTTTCAGTTGCTGTCATTGGACGAACATGTGGTCAGATGGAGTAGTCAGACAGTTACAACTACCATTTATAATTTACAAATAAACCATAAATGGGTAATATGTACACATTTTCATAACTAAGTCCCTCTTTTCATCATAAATTCATAAAATAGAAGATTGAAAAAAATAGCCAACTGTTTTGACTAAATTTTTTTTCAGTTGGCTCCAAAATAAGGTTTCATTTCCAGAAATATTAAAGAAAAAGTGGAGACAAATTTGAGTTAGAAAGTCTAGTGGT